AAACTTACACGATCATTCACTCCATCACTGTCTTGCCAGAAGGGTGCTTTACACTACAGTTTTTAAACTGCAACATTAACACCCCTCCTTCAGAGTGCAGGCACTGTACTTCCCATCTCCAGGACTCAAGTCCGGCCTGCCGGTTTCCCTGAATCTCTTCAAAAATGTTACTTTGCTCACACTCCAACAGCACGTCAAGTATTAAAAATCATTTGTCTCCATTCACTCCTATCAAACACGCTCATGTATGCCCTGTGGAGGTCCAAGCCCCTCACACACAAAACCTCCTTTACCCCTTCCCTCTAACCTTTCCTAGGCCGACCCCTACCCCGCCTTCCTTCCACTACAGACTGATACACTCTTGAAGTCATTCTGTTTTGCTCCAGTCTCTCTACATGTCTGAACCACCTCAACAACCCCTCTTCAGCCCTCTGGACAACAGTTTCGGCAATCCCGCACCTCCTCCTAACTTCCAAACTACGAATTTTCTGCATTATGTTCACACCACACATTGCCCTCAGACATGACATCCCCACTGCCTCCAGCCTTCTCCTCGCTGCAACATTCATTACCCATGCTTCACACCCATACAGGAGCATTGGTAAAACTATACTCTCATACATTCCCCTCTTTGCTTCCAAGGACAAAGTTCTTTGTCTCCAGAGACTCCTAAGTGCACCGCTCACCCTTTTCCCCTCATCAATTCTATGATTCACCTCATCTTTCATAGACCCATCCGCTGACACGTCCACTCCCAAATATCTGAATACATTCACCTCCTCCATACTCTCTCCCTCCAATCTGATATCCAATCTTTCGTCACCTAATCTTTTTGTTATCCTCATAACCTTACTCTTTCCTGTGTTCACTTTTAATTTTCTTCTTTTGCATACCCTACCAAATTCATCCACCAATCTCTGCAACTTCTCTTCAGAATCTCCCAAGAGCACAGTGTCATCAGCAAAGAGCAACTGTGACATCTCCCACTTTATGTGTGATTCTTTATCTTTTAACTCCACACCTCTTGCCAAGACCCTCGCATTAACTTCTCTTACAACCCCATCTATAAATATATTGAACAACCATGGTGACATCACACATCCTTGTCTAAGGCCTACTTTTACTGGGAAAATAATCTCCCTCTTTCCTACATACTGTAACTTGAGCCTCACTATCCTCGCAAAAACTCTTCATTGCTTTCAGTAACCTACCTCCTATACCATACATCTGCAACATCTGCCACATTGCCCCTCTATCCACCCTGTCATATGCCTTTTCCAGATCCATAAATGCCACAAAAACCTCTTTAGCCTTTTCTAAATACTGTTCACTTATATGTTTCACTGTAAACACATGGTCCACACCCCCTACCTTTCCTAAAGCCTCCTTGTTCATCTGCTATCCTATTCTCTGTCTTACTCTTAATTCTTTCAATAATAACTCTACCATACACTTTACCAGGTACACTCAACAGACTTATCCCCCTATAATTTTTGTGCACTCTTTTGCCCCCTTTGCCTTTATACAAAGGAACTATGCATGCTCTCTGCCAATCCCTAGGTACCTTACCCTCTTCCATACATTTAATAAATAATAGCACCAACCACTCCAAAACTATATCCCCACCTGCTTTTAACATTTCTATCTTTATCCCCTCAATCCTAGCTGCCTTACTCCCTTTCATTTTACCTACTGCCTCACGAACTTCCCCCACACTCACAACTGGCTCTTCCTCACTCCTACAAGATGTTATTCCTCCTTGCCCTATACACGAAATCACAGCTTCCCTATCTTCATCAACATTCAACAATTCCTCAAAATATTCCCTCCATCTTCCCAATACCTCTAACTCTCCATTTAATAACTCTCCTCTCGTATTTTTAACTGACAAATCCATTTGTTCTCTAGGCTTCCTTAACTTGTTAATCTCACTCCAAAACTTTTTCTTATTTTCAGCAAAATTTGTTGATAACATCTCACCCACTCTCTCATTTGTTCTCTTTTTACATTGCTTCACCACTCTCTTAACCTCTCTCTTTTTCTCCATATACTCTTCCCTCCTTGCATCACTTCTACTTTTGTAAAAACTTCTCATATGCTAACTTTTTCTCCCTTACTACTAACTTTCCATCATCATTCCACCAATCGCTCCTCTTCCCTCCCGCACCCACTTTCCTGTAACCACAAACTTCTGCTGAACACTCTAACACTACATTTTTAAACCTACCCCATACCTCTTCGACCCCATTGCCTATGCTCTCATTAGCCCATCTATCCTCCAATAGTTGTTTATATCTTACCCCAACTGCCTCCTCTTTTAGTTTATAAACCTTCACCTCTCTCTTACCTGATGCTTCTATTCTCCTTGTATCCCATCTACCTTTTACTCTCAGTGTAGCTACAACTGAAAAGTGATCTGATATATCTGTGGCCCCTCTATAAACATGTACATCCTGAAGTCTACTCAACAGTCTTTTATCTACCAATACATAATCCAACAAACTACTGTCATTTCACCCTACATCATATCTTGTATACTTATTTATCTTCTTTTTCTTAAAATATGTATTACCTATCACTAAACCCCTTTCTTTACAAAGTTCAATCAAAGGGCTCCCATTATCATTTACACCTGGCACCCCAAACGTACCTACCACACCCTCTCTAAAAGTTTCTCCTACTTTAGCATTCAGGTCCCCTACCACAATTACTCTCTCAGTTGGTTCCAAGGTTCCTATACATTCACTTAACATCTCCCAAAATCTCTCTCTCTCCTCTACATTCCTCTCTTCTCCAGGTGCATACACTGCATTTGTCTTGTCATATATTCCGATGAGTAGCATACCCAAGCATTACAGTGGCGCCTCGGTTTTTGTTTGCCCTGATTTTCATTGAATTTGGTTTTCAATGACGTTTTTCATCAAAATATTGTTCCAGCTTTCGTTCATCACCTCAGTTTTTGTCTGCCATACCGAATGTGTCTGTCTGCCCACACCTGCACTAAGCATTCCACGGACACATTCCGAGTCAAGTCTGGCTTTGTTTGTCGTCAGTGAGCATTACCCTGCGCATTCATACAAAACATTTCGTAATCATTGTTTTTTGTGTTTGTTTATTGAGTGTGACTGCTAAAAAAGCCACCATGGGGCCAAAGAAAGTTCCAAGTGCCAGCCCTTTGATAAAGAAGGCAAGAAACACAATTGAATTCAATGGTGGTAGAGGGTGGTAGAGGATGGTAGTGGTTGTGATGGTGGTAGAGGGTGGTAGTGATTGTGGTAGAGGATGGTAGTGGTTGTGGTAGAGGGTGGTAGTGATGGTGGTAGAGATAACCTCTCGTCCCTCTCTCCTCCTCACCGTCTTCCATACGCCAACAAGAGTCTTCAGTGAAGGTGAAAGTGATTTAACCCTTTCAGGGTCCAAGGCCCAAATCTGGAGTCACGCACCAGTGTCCAAGAATTTTCAAAAAAAAAATTTGTTATTTTTTCTTATGAAATCGTAGAGAATCTTTTTGTGAAGGTAATAAAACAAAAAGTACGAAATTTGGTAGAAAATTGACGAAATTATGCTCTCACGAATTTTGATGTGTCAGCGATATTTACGAATCGGCGATTTTGCCGACTTTGACTCCCATTTTAGGCCAATTACATTATTCCAATCAACCAAATTCTTAGCTATTTCACTAGTATTACTTCTATTCTATCGATTGAGCACAAGAAATCGCCAAGTCAACTGTTTCAACTACAAAATAAAGTGATCGGAAATTGTTAATTTGGCCAATTTAACACAAAGTTCAAAATATTCCAATTTCAAAATAGGGTCCAGAATAAACAATGTAGGCATTCCAGGCACTAAACTAACATTTCCTCTGTTCATTAGTTATGTTTTGAGGCTTTACAAATAAATTCCTTTTTGATTTTTTATTCACATAATGAATTTTATTCACACCAAAAAATAGAAGATTTACTGTTATGCAATACTGTAATAATTGTATAAATATCATCACCATATTTGTGAATGTATATTAGACCCACCATCTGACGTGTATTAGATGTGTGAGGTCGTTTGTTTACTCTTGAATATCGGCAAAAATTTAACATTTCCGCTACTTTGAGCTCAGTTTCAAGCCATTTCCAGTGCTAAAACCAATCAAAAAACATCTCTATTTCTGTAATATGTCTTCCATTCTATCAAATGAGACCAAGAAATCGCAAATACAACTATAAAAAACATACGAAAAAACACTGCAAAGTTGCTGTTTTAATCGAAAAATCATGATTTCAGTTTTTTTCTCTCATTATACACAGTGTGCTGCAGGATCTGTTTTATGTGGTGCACACATACCACATAGATGTATTCTCTCATATCTAGGCCCAAATTACCACTCACAGTTTATCAGAGTGAGCTGAGCTCATGGCGTAGATCTACGGTTTGGACACTCACCGTAAAGCCGTAGATCTACGGGACGGACCCTGAAAGGATTAAATGTTCATTTATCCATTTCATTAGTGCTTTATATTTATTTCTCATTGTTTTCTGTATGTAAAACTATAGTTATTCTCTATAAAAATGTATTTTTTGCTAATATTTTTGAGTGTCTGGAAAGGATTACAGTAATTAGATTTACATTATTTCTTATGGGAAATATTGCTTCAATTTTTATCGAATTCGGTTTTCGTCACACTCTCGAATAAATTCAAGACTAGAACTGAGGGTCAACTGTACTTGATACTAAAATTGATTTTCAGTTTTAGGCTGATACTGATACCCATTGATAATGCTACTGATACCACGACCATTAGCTAATACCAATATCAGTACTTTGCCACATCCCTGCCTGATACCTTTTCTTGTTTGCAAGTGGTGAACATTTTGCTGTAAAACTAATATGCTTACTCATAATCTATGCAAACTGCCACAACTATCAAACACAAAGGTTTGCTTCAACTGTGATTCAAATGTCATGTCATCATTTCCAGCTATCATTCATTGTTTATTTACAGGTGGATAAATTCCATAAGGACCAACAAACACTTTCCTTGAACAATGGAACAAGTGCAACACCAGTAGTAGCAGAGGTCCAACCGGTTTCCCAGTGAGACACCAGTGACTAGACACCTCAGGCATGTACAACATCAAGTTGGGAGATGAAGGTTCTCCCAAACGAATGTGCTCCATTATTTTAGTAATTGCCAATATGTAAGTGCAGGCCACTCATCAAAGTCATTTGTTTGTGAGTCAGCAAATTTTTGTGTGACTGATGATCATGACAGATCAAGTATGAAAGTTGAAAGAGTGTAGTTTATTATTTTTTGTACTGGGCTATGGTTTTTCACCGACTGTCCTTGTTCTTTGTCTACGGGTGACTACAGGATACTTTTCGGTCTTAGAATGTCCCACATTGTTACTCATGTGGACTTTTAAAACTTAAGAATAAAACACATAAATAATGATTATGGAATACAGTAAATCTGAAATTGGCACTACAGATAACAATATTTAGGTTCTTAGTAATGAATGCTACATGTTGTAGTATTATATGACAGAGCTTAGTGAAAATTAGTTATGAATATTGTATTTATAGTATGCTGAGCTCCATAAATTAATGGGAGAGGAATCTCTTATGTGAACATATAATTGGTCTTAAGTATTGTGTGTGTGACATGTGAACTTCTAACCAAGTGGATGACTGGCATAAAGCAAGTGTTGGTTTCTGGAATTTTTTTTTTTTTTTTTGGTTCTGAAAGAAATTATACTTATCTATGTATTGTTTAAATAGTGAGCTATCATACCCAAATGTAAATCCACCGATGTTGTCAGTTATTAAGAGAATACAATGTTATGAATACTTGGTACATTCATATGATTTGGTGAAAAACATTGTATGAATATTTCCAAGCAGCTCCTTAATGATTATTACTAAAAAAATGATCTTGCACAAGTATTCTATTGTCTACTTACATCAGTTTAAAGTTATGGTTGTGTTACATATTCTTACAAATGGGCTTACACAGATTGCTTTAATAATTTTTTTTTGACATTAATCCTTTTAGATGAATTAAAATATCTTTTAACCTTGAAATATTTTGTATGGCACATTTTCTGACAGACTTTCTTCATCGCTACATTTACAGTATTGCTGTAGTAATACAGTAATTTTTTCTAGTTAATGTTTCATTACTTTCTTGCTGATATTCCCACCCATTTAATTTTTCATGAAACCTTTTAATATAAAAATACCTATACAGGTATTTGTAAACCTCATCAACAAGCATTAGCACGTTATTAGTCATTCTTTGTGTATTCAATGATTTCAGGAATCTAAGCAGTGAATTTTTAACATTACTAAATATATAAATATCATAACTTTTCAGCTGTGCTCATAATATACAACATATGTATATTTTACCAAGCTCATATTACCCATTTTCTATTTTTGAAATAGGTTTTGTAACCCTCTCAATTCAGTAACTTTGATATACTTTGTTTTGTTTGCTAAAGGCATGCTTCTGCTTTTTTTTCTGTTGAAGAGTACAGCTTGGTGGATGTAGTTTGGGGAATGTATTTTAAAAAAAATTCACCACATAAAGGTATTTTCTGTTATTTGGTGGTATGTGCTGCAGTATGCTCAGCTCTCTCTCTTTACCAAGGCCTGGCCTGCTAATATTAGCTTCTCTTGGTAGTTAAAGTCTGTTCATGGTAAAATTGTATTTTTTTATATACTGTATATATTTATTTTTTGTTAGTTCCATAAATCCCTTTTTAACTTATTTTCATTCTACATAATTTGTTATAGAATTTTGATTTTGAATATTTAGTAGATTAAAGGTACAGTATATTGTTTTAATCTTCACTCAGTTGTACACAGGCAAAGTATACTGAGACTGGAAATTAACATAAGTTTTATAAATTAATACTTTTCCTCTGTCTCCATTTGACATAACTTGTAGATACATGTGCTGTAATGATAAGCAGGTTTATTTATGGACTTTCCTAACTTCTAAAACTTTAAAACTTGTAGATACTGTGGGAATGATACCCCCAATGAAATTCCCCAAGATAAGAATTTCAAAAATTATAATTGTTAGTTTTCTTAGAAATTGTTTAAATCTTTTTGAGTATGGGCTAGACCCCCAATCTGAAAAATTCCCACGATCCAAATTTTTAAAATATAATTTGTTGTTGATTTGCTTTGAAATGTAGAGAATTTTTACATTGAGTAATAAATAAACATGACATTGTCAATATAGACAATTTGTTCTGTGAATTTTGTGTGTTCACGTTTTTACACATCAGAATTTTGCCCATTTGATCCTATTTTCAGACCATTACATTGTTCGAATGTAGGCATTCTTACTATTTCATAATATTTTAATTTTAATCTGTTCAGAATACACAATGAAGGATGTCCGACAAAATAAATTTTCCTTTTACCAGTTACAGTGATTTGCAGATAGGTCATTTTGCCACTTTTATTCATTCAAAATTTCCATTTGAAAATAGGTACCAGAATATACAATGCAGGCATTCCTGGCTAAAAATTAATTAAATATTTTGTGTAGTTCAGCTACGATGAATTCCATTTTGATTTTTATTACAGTGTAATTATTTTTATTCTCCAAAAAGAAAATTTAACTTATCAATAATTTATATATATAATATCATGCATTCATACTAAACCATCTAAAATCACCTTGTGTATTAGATGTGTGATTATTTAATTATATCTTGAAACTCGACAAAAGAAAACTTCCATAATTGAGCTCATTTAAGCTATTTCGTACTAAAACCAGTTAAACATTCTCTTCTTATTAACTCCAATTCTATCAAATAGACTAGAAACTTGGAATTAAATGAAAACCACTCAAAATGCTGCATTGTCTGTTCTAAGCCTAAAATACATGGTTCACATGGTTGCGTTTTAATCAACGAACTAGGCTGTGCATTGCGGATTTGTTTTATATGGTCAAGTCAAACATAAGCATTGTCTTGTATCTAAGGCCTAAAATTTACTGCTTACAGCTTATCAGAGCGAGCTGAGCTCATGACGTAGTACTACGGCTTGGACCCTGGCTTCAGAGCCATAGAAGTACAGGACGGTCCCTCAAAAGGTTAAGAATCCTTGACAATGACGTAAACACAATGAACAAATAAAGGCTATGGAAAGTGCAGTATAAGGTTTAGTAAAATCTACATTGGAAATTTGTATACTGTATTTATTGGCTGTACCATGTTTTCCAGTTTGGAGTATTGATGCATTAGCCCAGAAAGTAAGGAAAATGAAATTCTGAGAAGCAGAGTTAAAAATATATGGTGATACTAAATCTTTTGTTCAACTTTCTGTACACTGAAATATTGCTCACTAGAAAAATATATACGTCAACATTTCAGTTGTTTTATAGGCGTCATGTATTTCATTGGAGTTAATGTATATTTATATATTTTTTTAATCACTTAGGATTATTTTTCTCTACGTAATTCTCAATAGGAAAAAATATTCGGTCTTCTGATATGCAATATTTTATTTTGCATGTGGGTTGACTTGGATTGTTTGTAATGTTCCAAGGCAATTAAATTAATTTTATAACAAATTAAGAAGCTTTAAGTTAGAAGCCTGATTTATAATTAGAAATTACATGAATTGGTATTACATTATAGTTATTGCTGCTTGTACTTGCATTTCAATAAATGGAAGCTGATTACAGTATTAGGTTTATTAAACTATGCTCACTGTTAATTTGCATTCACTTTTCTTTTCATTAGAAAAATGAGAGCAAAAGTTTGGCTTAATGGAGTTAAGGTTTCACATTTTATTTAGATTATTTTCAAAATATTTGTTGTCAGAAGGAAGTCTTGTCTATACATTTGTAATGTTTTTTTTTTTTTTTTTTTTCAACAAGTCGGTCGTCTCCCACCGAGGCAGGGTGACAAATTGCCATGTTGTTCTTGAACTGAAGACAGTTTTTGGGCTTGATTCATTTTCAAGCTATTCAGTGTTTAATATCAGTGTAGTTCAATGAACTATAACACTTATTATTTTCCATAAAGAAAATTTGATATCCATTTCTAAGTTTCCCCTTTTTATAATTACTAAAGTTATTTTAACCTTTTTTTAGATAATACTACCTTAACTTAGCTAGTAGTAATGTTGACATACATTTCTGTGTGGAATTGACAAATTCATGTTTATATAATTTATTGTATTTCACTTAATTATTGAAAGATTGTCATCATTTATCAGAGAAATAGAAATTTAACAGAACAGTTACTAATGGCACCTAATGTCAGTAGATTCAATGGGCATTAGTATATAGTAACTTAAGAAGTTTAGATAATTTGACTATTTAACCAGATTATTTGCGCTTGTCAAGATGATTATGTAGATGCACAGAATGTTGAAGTCATTTATGTTTTGTGTATTGCAAGAGCTTATTCATAATTTTATGGGTAAGCTGTTAATTATTTTAAAGTATTGTATTTTTTGACATGACCAAGTTCTTAGTCAATTTCTTGATGATATTCAGTTGGTAATAACATATGCATGCACACATCTATGTACATAACTTGACTCACAAAATCGTAATGTACATACACATTCCTTTGAGCAGTAAAACTTATAAACAGTGTTGTCTTCACTTTTGTTAGCATTCCACCATGTACAGCCTCTCCTCACTTAGTAACATACTCATTTACCGATGCCTTTTACTTATGACGGGCTCTCTGACCAGTATTTATATCTAAATAATGTATATTAAAGCTGATTTCCTCTATTCTGTTTATTTCAGTGTACAGTACACTACTGTATAAACATTTAAATATATACCAGAAATCTTATAAATGGTGCAGAGGTGACATTAAAACAACATCAAAGATGGTTGACACAAATCCACTACCATTATAGTATGCTCCTCACTTAACGGCGAATTCGTTTAACGAAATGGTGTTAAGAACATAACTCCATTGTTAAGTGAGAAGAGGCTGTATTTCTTTTAACACATTATTTGCTCTCATAGCTATTAACATTTACCAGTAAATAGTTACCATTCATAATTTGCATTTATGCTATTTAGTTTAGTGATAGGCAGTTATTGTGTACAGTAGTGTTGTCTGTTACAGTGGTTGTAATTTTTGTTGGTAACAGTAACTAAATTGTTATTATTTTGAAGATTCAGAATAGGACCAAGGATCTATGGCAGTCTTTCTTAGTAAAGCTACCAGCAGTCTTTCTTAGTAAAGCCACTGGCAATCTTTCTTAGTAAAGCCACTGGCAATCTTTCTTAGTAAAGCCACTGGCAATCTTTCTTAGTAAAGCTACTGGGTATAGTAATTACATTTAAACAGACAACACAACCTAACACTAATGATGTATAAAAAAAATTTAGTGACTTTCTCTAATTTGAGCTTTTAAAGAGTTGCATGCAAGTTTTTGAGCAAGAAGTGGTATTATCTTTATCGGCATTGGAAACAAAACATTATTAAGAGATTTAATATTGAAAATTTTTAACAATTGATAATATATGGAAATAGTTTCAAACAAAGTGGTTTGTTTCTTAGCTAATCTAGATCACTCAGAAATGCATTTAGTTTAGTAATATCTATGGTTCATATGCAGCTCCTTTGTTGTTTTAGAAAACATGTGAAATCCTAAAGTTAATTTGTTTTATAATAGTTACACCCCTTAAGGGTGAGGGGTTCTTGATCCAAGGAACTGGACCTCTCTTCCTATTCCTTGGCTTGAACCTGATTTCCTCCCATTCCTCAGGTGCTATATGATCACTGGTTCAGCATTATCCATGATTAAAATTAATAAATAAATATAGGCATTACAATGAAGATTGTAATAGAATGAATATATAAAAAATAACTAGAATAAAGGTTCAGGAGGGAACTGCCAGAAAAGTAAGTTC